AGCCGAGTTTCGGCATGGATGGCTGCTTTTCAGCTTTGGTCCTCCAGAGGACATGTTGGACGGACCCCTGATGCGCTGGGGTCCAGCGGGAGGGTCGCCAGGGGGTGTTTTGGCGCCCACCATAATCACTGTTCATGACTACTCAGAGAGTCCAATCGATCAATGGTCTATCAGTTGACTCATGAACTGTTTAAGCACAGTTGATTCGACTGAGCGGAGGGGGAGGTCAAGCGGGGCCAGGGCGTGGTCTGAAAGGCCTGCCGTCGGCCCGGGGGGGGACGGCGCCTCCCTCGGCTCTCCCCCACCGACGAGTGCGCCCGTAGATGTCACCTGCGCCGGTGTTTTACATCGACGCGCGCGCGAGGCGCGCGGGACTGGACAGCGCGCGCCAGGTCTTCGGCGAAGGCGTAGGTACGGCAGATGATGTCGCCGGGGAAGGTCTGCTTGGGCTCGGCGTAGCCCACGCCGCAGAGGCTGGCGCCGTGGGTCTCGGACGTGCACGCGGTTGCCCTGAAAGCCCGCCGCGCGGCGGCGAGCGATTCGGGCGCCGCGGTGAGTCTCGAGCCAGCGCGCTTCCATGGAGCGCGGCACGGTCGTGCGCCTCCCTCGAACGCGGAAGTCGGCGGCCTCGCGGGTCCGAACCCAGAGATGCCAGGGGGTGCCGAACCAGCGTGCTCGCGCACGACCTGAAGTCGCCGCCGCCAGCCGACACTGGATGGGACGGCCGGAATGCGCCACCGTCAAGCCGTGCACGGACAACGTCGCGCCGGACTCCCAGACGAGCAGCGGGCCCGCCATGGTCGGGCCGGGGGGGCAGCGACGACGGCGGCGCGTCATGCTTCACGAGCGGCTGGGCTGCTCCCTGGTGTACTATTTTTTAGACCTGTGCGAGGCCGCGTCGAGGCGTCCACGGAGCCTCGGGGGGGCGGGTTCCGGACGCCTCTCGGCGAGCGACGAGGCGAGGCGTGAGGCGGCAAACATCGGTTCAATCTACAAATTTGCTCGAGCCGCTTCCACACAAGTGGTCACCTGCGACGCTGGCAAACTGGCAGTGTCCTGTCCGAACAACTTTAATTCAACCCGTTGCGTCGCCCCGTCGCGCATCGTGCTGTTCGTAACGCGTATGCCAAATATCACGTCTGTAGGTTTACATCCGGCAACGCTAAAGCAAAGCAAGTCCCGCCCGGCGACGTGCGCGCGCCACTTCAAGGCCACGCGAGAAGGTTTGGAAGGTCTCTCACCCCTCCGCACCTCGTCCTCG